TGGTTAAACAGGACTAGTTATTGAGCAGTTATCCAGCTGGTACCTGGTTAAACAGGACTAGTTAGTGAGCAGTTATCCAGCTGGTTGCTGGTTAAACAGGACTAGTTAGTGAGCAGTTATCCAGCTGGTTTCTGGTTAAACAGGACTAGTTATTGAGCAGTTATCCAGCTGGTTTCTGGTTAAACAGGACTAGTTATTGAGCAGTTATCCAGCTGGTTCCTGGTTAAACAGGACTAGTTATTGAGCAGTTATCCAGCTGGTTTCTGGTTAAACAGGACTAGTTATTGAGCAGTTATCCAGCTGGTTGCTGGTTAAACAGGACTAGTTATTGAGCAGTTATCCAGCTGGTTCCTGGTTAAACAGGACTAGTTAGTGAGCAGTTATCCAGCTGGTTTCTGGTTAAACAGGACTAGTTATTGAGCAGTTATCCAGCTGGTTGCTGGTTAAACAGGACTAGTTTTGAGCAGTTATCCAGCTGGTTTCTGGTTAAACAGGACTAGTTATTGAGCAGTTATCCAGCTGGTTTCTGGTTAAACAGGACTAGTTATTGAGCAGTTATCCAGCTGGTTGCTGGTTACACAGGACTAGTTATTGAGCAGTTATCCAGCTGGTTTCTGGTTAAACAGGACTAGTTAGTGAGCAGTTATCCAGCTGGTTTCTGGTTAAACAGGACTAGTTATTGAGCAGTTATCCAGCTGGTTTCTGGTTAAACAGGACTAGTTATTGAGCAGTTATCCAGCTGGTTCCTGGTTAAACAGGACTAGTTATTGAGCAGTTATCCAGCTGGTTTCTGGTTAAACAGGACTAGTTATTGAGCAGTTATCCAGCTGGTTGCTGGTTAAACAGGACTAGTTATTGAGCAGTTATCCAGCTGGTTCCTGGTTAAACAGGACTAGTTAGTGAGCAGTTATCCAGCTGGTTTCTGGTTAAACAGGACTAGTTATTGAGCAGTTATCCAGCTGGTTCCTGGTTAAACAGGACTAGTTATTGAGCAGTTATCCAGCTGGTTTCTGGTTAAACAGGACTAGTTATTGAGCAGTTATCCAGCTGGTTTCTGGTTAAACAGGACTAGTTATTGAGCAGTTATCCAGCTGGTTGCTGGTTAAACAGGACTAGTTATTGAGCAGTTATCCAGCTGGTTCCTGGTTAAACAGGACTAGTTATTGAGCAGTTATCCAGCTGGTTTCTGGTTAAACAGGACTAGTTATTGAGCAGTTATCCAGCTGGTTGCTGGTTAAACAGGACTAGTTATTGAGCAGTTATCCAGCTGGTTGCTGGTTAAACAGGACTAGTTATTGAGCAGTTATCCAGCTGGTTTCTGGTTAAACAGGACTAGTTAGTGAGCAGTTATCCAGCTGGTTTCTGGTTAAACAGGACTAGTTATTGAGCAGTTATCCAGCTGGTTCCTGGTTAAACAGGACTAGTTAGTGAGCAGTTATCCAGCTGGTTTCTGGTTAAACAGGACTAGTTATTGAGCAGTTATCCAGCTGGTTTCTGGTTAAACAGGACTAGTTAGTGAGCAGTTATCCAGCTGGTTTCTGGTTAAACAGGACTAGTTATTGAGCAGTTATCCAGCTGGTTCCTGGTTAAACAGGACTAGTTAGTGAGCAGTTATCCAGCTGGTTTCTGGTTAAACAGGACTAGTTATTGAGCAGTTATCCAGCTGGTTCCTGGTTAAACAGGACTAGTTAGTGAGCAGTTATCCAGCTGGTTCCTGGTAAACAGGACTAGTTATTGAGCAGTTATCCAGCTGGTTTCTGGTTAAACAGGACTAGTTATTGAGCAGTTATCCAGCTGGTTGCTGGTTAAACAGGACTAGTTAGTGAGCAGTTATCCAGCTGGTTTCTGGTTAAACAGGACTAGTTAGTGAGCAGTTATCCAGCTGGTTTCTGGTTAAACAGGACTAGTTATTGAGCAGTTATCCAGCTGGTTCCTGGTTAACCAGGCACCTGTCGCAGCAGGTAGACTCACCCACAGCACCAGCGGAGACTCCATGAAGGAGGCCAGCAGCTCGGACAGGGTCACGTCCATGCTTGGTCACCAATAAGTCATCAATCCAGCGATCGATCCGGATCAAAGCATGGGCCCCCCTGCGCCCCCCCTCCCCCCGCCCTGCGCGCGAGAGCCGCAGTAGCTGCTATTGTCTGTCCGGGTCCCTCGGTAAGTCCGACAAGTGGAGAAAAGGCGGATAAAAACCAGCTGGACCGGGTCGGAACCTCCCTCACGGAGGTTTTTCTATAGTTCTGGAGTCGGTTCGGTTAGTTTCGCCGCTAAATGAAAGCGTTTCTATTGCGGATGGTGGCAAACACTTGATCCAAACTTCGCTCGGATAGTTGATTTTGTTGCCAAGGAAACACAAATCCGGCCGTAAAGAGATAAAAAAAAACGCTAGAAAGTTAGAAAATATAAAATATCCGATGAGAAAACAGTGAAAGTCTTCAGCAGAACCGGGTCAAAGTACTTTCCCCCGTCGTCTCCATCCGGACCAACTCCTCACCGCTCCAACTGTCTCCATCAACCTGTGAGACCCGAGAACACAGGAAAGCAGACCGACGGTACGAACAGCCAATCAGCGGCCGGCCGCCGCCCCAACTCCCGCCTTTCCTCTGAACCAACCAATGAAGAAGAGGGTGTTCACACTGAGGCTGGCGTCACCATCGGGCAGAGCGACGCCGAAGAGCTCGAGGGAGCAAGATGGTGACCTGCCCGCGCAGGAAGCGGCGCTTATTTTCCATCTCCCACCGGTTTTACTGATGGTTCTTATATTTCCCGTTTTTATAATTATTTTAATGTTTTTTGTGAATTTTTACACTTAGAAATTTTACTGTTCCCATTCTAACCTTTTAGCTGACATTTTGTAATTTTTCTTAATAGTATGTTTCAAATATGCACACTGAATAAAACACTGATGTTTGTCATTTTATATGCATTAATATTTTCTGTGTATATATTTTTATTTCAATATCTCTAGTGTATTTGTGCACGTTATCAGCACATTCATTCGACTCAATGAATGGACTGCAAGTTACACCATTGAGAGAACATCCCATAATATGGCAGATCGGGTAAGGAGCAAAGTGTTTTCCCTCCGGACAGAAAAGAAATCGACTTCACCAGTGGCAGTGAAACGAACCATTGTGGTGGTGGCAGGTACTTCTCTTGTTCTTCGCTCTGATTCGTCTGAACGGTTTGAAACGGAAACCAAAGATCAGCTCAGATCAAAGTTCAGATGCAAATGTCCAGAAATGAAGGCCGGCAGTGAGAGCAGCAGGGTGTGCGCGACAAGCACTGGGTCCGCTGTCTCTCCCAGAACCGGCCTGGAACTGTAGAACCGATTTCCGGCTCCGGTTCAGTCTGAATGAGTTTGGTCAGCAGCATCACTGACATCCTGAGACACAAACTCAACTCAAAGTTCAGTGATGCAGTGGGAAAAAACCACTGATCACACGTGGCGCCAGCGAAAAGGACGACAGCGCCACCTCTTGGTGAATGATGACTATTACAAAATCAACTCTTGAAGCAGCCTAAAATGGACTGCATTTTGTTCCAGACAGATTCAGCGAGTCTGTGGAGAATCCTGGTCCGACGGTACCGCTACCGGTCCACCTGGGTCAAATGTTCTGGACTCATCAGAGGATGGCAGTAGCAGATCCAAGATGGCATCTCCACAGCAATAAGCATTCAGCACTCTGGAGCGAACACCATCTGGACCTGTAGCCTGGTTCCGGTCCAGCCTGGTTCCGGTCCAGTCTGGTTCCGGTCCAGTCTGTCCGGACGCCTCTTCACCTGTGAACTGAACCGGGTTCCTGAACCTCCTGTTTCTAATCTGGACTACAAGATACTTCTGTAAACTCAACAATAAAAATAAACTGCATTTCATTGTTAATGAAGTTTGTTCAGGCATTGATGAGGTCTGCTGCGGCAGTCAGGACCCCAGCAGAGATGTTGGAGTAGGGGAATCAGATCAGCTGACTCCTGGTTGGAGCAAAGCTATGGTTACCTAGAGTAACTACCACCCACAGGGAAAGTGAACAGGATGACAATCAGCCAGATTTAATCCCTGACGTCGCTCAGGTCAGGTCCTTCAGGTGTAGAACCAGCTCAGGTGAGGTCATGTGACCTGCAAAGGACTCACATGACCTACTCAGGTAAAAACAGAAACCAGCAGCCAATCAGATTCTATCAATTCTCTATTTATTCCTTCATTGTGAATATCAAAACAGGAAACAGTTTAAGAGGTGATTTCAGAAGAAACGATTTAAATTCAATGTGCTCCACTTAGCCCACCCCACAGTCCTCCTGGACCAATAGCAGCGCAGGTCATGGTGGATACCTTTCATCTTATTGGTGCTTTGTGAACTTCATTAGTCTATAACAATATTACAAATATATAAAGTCTCTAGAGCGTGGCAGACACAGAAAATGCAGTCAGGTTCTACTGTTGTCAGGATAATAATACTGCACTGTCCTCACACACACACACACACACACACACACACACACACACACACACACACACACACACCCTGTGGCTTTCCTTCAGCCACAGTGGGACCAGGAAGACTCAGAGGAAGAACCAGTCTGTCTCCAGTCTGCCCAGTATGAAGTCAGCCTCTCTGGGTCACAAAGTAATGATCAAGTGGGTGAAACCAGGACCTCCCAGTTCAGCGGTTCTGGTTCAGAGCTCATCCTGGACCAGTTCTCTGTGGTTCTGGATGTTAAGTCTCAACCTGTCCTTTGGGACCTGCAGTACCTGGAGGATCCAGCAGGGGGTTAGAAGCCACCTGGCAGCCATGTTTGTTTTCTAGAGGTGGAACCGACTGGACCTGGACTGGTTCTGGTCCAGCTTCTGATGGGAGGTCCGTGATAGGAGAGCTTTGCCTCTTCGTGAACTGTTCACAGGTTGCTATGGGAAGAGTATGGAATCACCATAGCAACCGGTGAGTCAACAGTTTCCCCGACCAATAGGATCGTGATTACATCGTGGGGGCGCTAGAGAGCAGAGGTGCTGAGGAAGTGATGTTTGCACAGAACAGCAGGGGGCGCTTCCAGGAAAGCTCCAGAGTTCAAACAGGAAATAGAACCGGGTCTCGAACCGGGTCTCCAACCGGGTCAGCTGCATTAAGGAAACTATCAACTTCCTGTTACAGTAGAGCCAGGTTCACAGGAAGTGGAAAAGATATTTAAATAAACTTAAATACATTTATGACTAATCAAGGATGGGTCTGAGAAGAATTTACACAAAAAATAAAAAGGTTTTTGAAAGAAAAATCATTTTTTAGATCAATTTCTCAGGAAATTTGGGTTTAGAGAGTTTTGTTCACATTTTCTTTTGTTGATTTAGTTGTGTTTTCTCTGATTTCTGGTTTTGAATAAAGAGCTTTGGCTCGTTCAGGAAAATCTGGAGGAAACATTTCCTGCTCTGAATGTCAAATTTCACAACATTCAGCTCCAAAAATGTGCTCAGATTTTTCTGTGATTTTGTGTAGAAATATAATTCTTAATGCTGTGAAGGTTAGGTTTCAGGACCGGGTGGTGCAGCGTTTACTGTGTGACCTGTGATGTCATCAGCGCAGCCAGGAGCAGGGCACCCACTGCGGCTCCGTGTCCAGCTTGTTGATGAGGCGCAGCAGCTCGCCGTAGGCCCGGTCCGGGTCCGTGTTCACGATGACCGCGTCGAAAAGATGGCCGCAGCTCTGCTCCATCTCACGCGCCTTCTCGATGATGTCACGGAGCTCCTCAGGCTGAAAACACACAGGGGTCAGGGTTCAGGGAGCGGAACCGGAAGCAGAACCAGAAGCAGAACCGGAAGCAGAACAACCTTGGGGCTCTTGCCGTCCTTCAGCAGCAGCGCTCTCAGTCGCTCCTGGGACGGCGGGGCGATGAAGATGATGTAGGGCTTCAGGTCGGAGCTGCGCAGCACCTTCAGGGCCTGTAGGTGGAGGCAGAGGGTCAGAGGTCGCCTGGGCCTGGAGCAGCAGCAGGGCGCCACCTACCTGTGTGTGCAGACACAGCAGGCAGATCTTCCCGGCGTTGATGACCTGCCGCACCGAGTCGCTGCTCGTCCCGTACAGGTTCCTCTCGAACTCGCCCGACTCGATCAGCTTCCCTGGAGAGAGAGACCCGAGGACCTGTTAGAGGACGGGCTCTTCATCTTTTTGACCCCGGGGCCATTTACATATTTACCATTATGGGTTCACCAAACTGAGCTGGCTCTTGTTCCATGTTAAAGATTAAATCCATGTATAATATAAAATATCATTACAGCATAATGTGACAATCACAAGGAGATTTATTGATCATTTGTACCAAAAATAAATAAAACATCTGAACAAATTGGTGGAACAGATCAAACAGCAACAAGAGTAACGTGGGGAAATTGGTTAAATTAAATTATGTGCTCAAAAATGAATACATTAAAATAAATCATTTTCAAATTTAAAATGCAAATGAAAATATAGTTATAACAGAGATTTTGTAAATCTTAAAAAGTTTTACTTATTCCCTTACACTGATTTAGATTATGCGACACAAAGTGGCAAAGACTGTTATTTATGTGTAACTGTTTCACTGTGTCTAAAGTAAGATGGCTCCCGTTTTATTTCATAAAGACGATGTGAGGAAGAGGAGGGAGAGACCATTCACTGCACTGATGAAGGTCTGAAGCTACAACTCAGCTGGGAAACATGAATAAAACATACATAAATATTATATCATTATTTAATCATCTTTGTTTCTCTATGACGATGACGGATACTGTGAACCAACTGATAAACTCTCTAGTCAAAGTAATATATAAAAATTTACAGATATTGTTTACATAAAAATACTAGAAATAATGTATAAAGCATTGAACAAAAGTCTTCCTCCAGGTATTCAGAAATTATTTAAGATAAGAGAGAATAAATATCATTTGCTCGGTTTGTTTATATTTGAATGTGCAAAAGAAGCGCCAGATAAAGTCTGGATGTGTTTCAGTTTGGTGTGAAACTGTGGAATGAATTGAATGATGAAGTTAAGTTATATCCTTTCTTGGTGAACTTTTAAAGAGCTTTAAAATGTAAAATGATAAAATCTTACGCTGCTATGTAGATTTATAAATGTGTTGTGAAAATATCCTGATAGGTTGTAAAAAAAAACAGGGTAGGCAAAAATAAGCTTTGCTTTTTGGTAAATTGTGGGTTTGTTTATTGTTGGATTTTTGTTGCTGTTTCTTGTGTTTGATGTGGACAATTTACCAAAATAAAGTGATTGATTCAACATACTTAAAAAAATGACTGGTTGTGTGCTCTGTAAAATGCTAATCATGCATCAATTATTATATTCTAAATCTATTCTGTTTCCCCAAAAACAATATTTAAATATGTTGAATCATGCTTCTGTCAACTTCAAAGATACTTGAAATAAATATTTACCTTGTAAATGTAGCCATGACAGCCGTTTAAGGTTAACGACAAAAAAATGGTGAAAATCTGTTCAGTATTTGGCGAGCTGCGATCGATTAAATGGGCTGATATTGCGCCTGTCAAACTTTTTTTTAAATTACATTTCAAACAAACATTAACATACAT